GACGTTTTGACGATGGATACCAAAAAGTATCATGACGTCATCTGGGTATTCAGAATTCATCGTTACTGGGCATCTGAAACAGAATAGACATCTCCCTACTTCGGTTTGACGACGTTTTGACGATGGATACTAAAAAGTATTCTGACGCCATCTGGGTATTCAGAATTCATCGTTACTGGGCATCTGAAACAGAATAGACATCTCCCTACTTCGGTTTGACGACGTTTTGACGATGGATACCAAAAAGTATCATGACGTCATCTGGGTATTCAGAATTCATCGTTACTGGGCATCTGAAACAGAGTAGACATCTCCCTACTTCGGTTTGATGACGTTTTGACGATGGATACCAAAAAGTATCATGACGTCATCTGGGTATTCAGAATTCATCGTTACTGGGCATCTGAAACAGAATAGACATCTCCCTACTTCGGTTTGACGACGTTTTGACGATGGATACTAAAAAGTATTCTGACGTCATCTGGGTATTCAGAATTCATCGTTACTGGGCATCTGAAACAGAATAGACATCTCCCTACTTCGGTTTGACGACGTTTTGACGATGGATACTAAAAAGTATTCTGACGTCATCTGGGTATTCAGAATTCATCGTTACTAGGCATCTGAAACAGAATAGACATCTCCCTACTTCGGTTTGACGACGTTTTGACGATGGATACCAAAAAGTATCATGACGCCCACTGGGTATTCAGAATTCATCGTTACTGGGCATCTGAAACAGAATAGACATCTCCCTACTTCGGTTTGACGACGTTTTGACGATGGATACTAAAAAGTATTCTGACGTCATCTGGGTATTCAGAATTCATCGTTACTAGGCATCTGAAACAGAATAGACATCTCCCTACTTCGGTTTGACGACGTTTTGACGATGGATACCAAAAAGTATCATGACGTCATCTGGGTATTCAGAATTCATCGTTACTGGGCATCTGAAACAGAATAGACATCTCCCTACTTCGGTTTGACGACGTTTTGACGATGGATACTAAAAAGTATTCTGACGTCATCTGGGTATTCAGAATTCATCGTTACTGGGCATCTGAAACAGAATAGACATCTCCCTACTTCGGTTTGACGACGTTTTGACGATGGATACTAAAAAGTATTCTGACGTCATCTGGGTATTCAGAATTCATCGTTACTGGGCATCTGAAACAGAATAGACATCTCCCTACTTCGGTTTGACGACGTTTTGACGATGGATACTAAAAAGTATTCTGACGTCATCTGGGTATTCAGAATTCATCGTTACTAGGCATCTGAAACAGAATAGACATCTCCCTACTTCGGTTTGACGACGTTTTGACGATGGATACCAAAAAGTATCATGACGTCATCTGGGTATTCAGAATTCATCGTTACTGGGCATCTGAAACAGAATAGACATCTCCCTACTTCGGTTTGACGACGTTTTGACGATGGATACTAAAAAAGTATTCTGACGTCATCTGGGTATTCAGAATTCATCGTTACTGGGCATCTGAAACAGAATAGACATCTCCCTACTTCGGTTTGACGACGTTTTGACGATGGATACCAAAAAGTATCATGACGTCATCTGGGTATTCAGAATTCATCGTTACTGGGCATCTGAAACAGAATAGACATCTCCCTACTTCGGTTTGACGACGTTTTGACGATGGATACTAAAAAAGTATTCTGACGTCATCTGGGTATTCAGAATTCATCGTTACTGGGCATCTGAAACAGAATAGACATCTCCCTACTTCGGTTTGACGACGTTTTGACGATGGATACCAAAAAGTATCATGACGTCATCTGGGTATTCAGAATTCATCGTTACTGGGCATCTGAAACAGAATAGACATCTCCCTACTTCGGTTTGACGACGTTTTGACGATGGATACTAAAAAAGTATTCTGACGTCATCTGGGTATTCAGAATTCATCGTTACTAGGCATCTGAAACAGAATAGACATCTCCCTACTTCGGTTTGACGACGTTTTGACGATGGATACCAAAAAGTATCATGACGTCATCTGGGTATTCAGAATTCATCGTTACTGGGCATCTGAAACAGAATAGACATCTCCCTACTTCGGTTTGACGACGTTTTGACGATGGATACTAAAAAGTATTCTGACGTCATCTGGGTATTCAGAATTCATCGTTACTGGGCATCTGAAACAGAATAGACATCTCCCTACTTCGGTTTGACGACGTTTTGACGATGGATACCAAAAAGTATCATGACGTCATCTGGGTATTCAGAATTCATCGTTACTGGGCATCTGAAACAGAATAGACATCTCCCTACTTCGGTTTGACGACGTTTTGACGATGGATACTAAAAAGTATTCTGACGTCATCTGGGTATTCAGAATTCATCGTTACTGGGCATCTGAAACAGGACAGACATCTCCCTACTTCGGTTTGACGACGTTTTGACGATGGATACCAAAAAGTATCATGACGTCATCTGGGTATTCAGAATTCATCGTTACTGGGCATCTGAAACAGAATAGACATCTCCCTACTTCGGTTTGACGACGTTTTGACGATGGATACTAAAAAGTATTCTGACGTCATCTGGGTATTCAGAATTCATCGTTACTAGGCATCTGAAACAGAATAGACATCTCCCTACTTCGGTTTGACGACGTTTTGACGATGGATACCAAAAAGTATCATGACGTCATCTGGGTATTCAGAATTCATCGTTACTGGGCATCTGAAACAGAATAGACATCTCCCTACTTCGGTTTGACGACGTTTTGACGATGGATACTAAAAAGTATTCTGACGTCATCTGGGTATTCAGAATTCATCGTTACTGGGCATCTGAAACAGAATAGACATCTCCCTACTTCGGTTTGACGACGTTTTGACGATGGATACCAAAAAGTATCATGACGTCATCTGGGTATTCAGAATTCATCGTTACTGGGCATCTGAAACAGAATAGACATCTCCCTACTTCGGTTTGACGACGTTTTGACGATGGATACTAAAAAGTATTCTGACGTCATCTGGGTATTCAGAATTCATCGTTACTGGGCATCTGAAACAGAATAGACATCTCCCTACTTCGGTTTGACGACGTTTTGACGATGGATACTAAAAAAGTATTCTGACGTCATCTGGGTATTCAGAATTCATCGTTACTGGGCATCTGAAACAGAATAGACATCTCCCTACTTCGGTTTGACGACGTTTTGACGATGGATACCAAAAAGTATCATGACGTCATCTGGGTATTCAGAATTCATCGTTACTGGGCATCTGAAACAGAATAGACATCTCCCTACTTCGGTTTGACGACGTTTTGACGATGGATACCAAAAAGTATCATGACGTCATCTGGGTATTCAGAATTCATCGTTACTGGGCATCTGAAACAGAATAGACATCTCCCTACTTCGGTTTGACGACGTTTTGACGATGGATACTAAAAAGTATTCTGACGTCATCTGGGTATTCAGAATTCATCGTTACTAGGCATCTGAAACAGAATAGACATCTCCCTACTTCGGTTTGACGACGTTTTGACGATGGATACCAAAAAGTATCATGACGTCATCTGGGTATTCAGAATTCATCGTTACTGGGCATCTGAAACAGAATAGACATCTCCCTACTTCGGTTTGACGACGTGGTGCTTCCAGGTTAACGGCGGACGGTTATTTTAGCGGGGGACGGTTGCTAATTTTTTTTCAGAATCTCGTGCGGGTCGACTAATTAAAAATTTACCGTTTTCATAGACTTGTACGCCGCCCCAGATGGTTCTGGACTATTGGCGGGGAGGAGAAATTAAGAAATACATCACAAAACATGTTGAAAATTTTTGCTATTTTGGTCCAACGTATCTGAAAACGTTTTGAAAACAGCTAAAACTCAAAGTTTTGTTGACCGTAGGATAAATGTTGATTAATTTTTAGTTTATAGAAAACTACTAAAAACATTATTAAAATAACTACACTTTATGACTAGGCAAGTATAGGCTAAACAAAGAAAAATTTGCAACCGTCCCCCGTTAACCTGGAAGCACCGACGACGTTTTGGTTTTTGGATACTAAAAAGTGTCTTGACGTCATCTGTCTATTCAGAATTCATCGTTAATAGTCACCAGAATAGAATAGACATCTCCCCCACTTCCGTTTGACGACATTTTGGCCCTGGACACTGAAAAACAAGTTTTGATGTAAGTTATTTTAAGAAAGGCCAAAATAACTGCAATAAAAGCTACAATTTATTTCATTTACTAATTTAAGATCTAAGCTAAGGATTCAGAATGGTCAGTGCTCTGTTCTGCTAAAGCTTTCATTTCTATGGTAAACCATCCCTTTATGGGTTTAAAAGCTTTTAAAAAAGCCCGTTTCCATTTTTGTTGACCTATTTGACAACATAACATCTGCCTTGTCGCCCGAGGTCAGGCTGGCGACTAGAATGCGGGAAGTTTTCAATTTTTGAACTTAATGAAAATTTGAAAATCATTAAAGCCCGCGGCTACGCACGGCTACATGTCCGGTTTCTGGGCGCGAGAAATTGCGTGGGATCCCTTGACTTTTGTCGTGATTTTTTTTGGGCAAATTGACCTTATCTGGCTTTATCTCCGCTAGAATCCTTCGTTATATAAAAACCTCATTTATAAAACTCTCAATTCTTATCTCAACGTGGGCTGTTTTCATTTTGCTGAAACCCGCGGTGTCGTTGTTACGTTTTCTCGAAATTTCCATAGCGGCGTCATACTTTTCGGTTACCAAACTGGTTGGTCTATTAACGATCGATATTCGAAAAGTTTCGACATTCTGATGGCCATTTCTATAGGTATAGCGTTCTTCAATGCGAAATCTCATTGGAATTTGTTAGATCGGTTCGCGGATCAAACCCAGAACACCTCGCGCTTCATTTTCCATTCCATTTTCCATTTTCTATAATTTTGTGTTTTCCCACCCCCACCCGTTTCCACCTCAGGGACGATTTTTTTATTTTTCAGGCGAGCGGCTTTTTGAAGAATGTCCGATTCACCACATAAGTCCCAAGGTGATTAGTTGCGCTCAGATTCTTGAAATACTTTACTTTAGGAAAAGATCAGCAATGGGTGGTCAAGAAACTCGCGGAGCTGGTCGGGAAGAACGAGAAGATGATCCACGAATCGGCCTCCAACCAATACGATTACCCGTGGTTGTACATAGGAAGTGATGGGCATTCGGAGTTCCGCAAAAAGGTAATTTAGTAGCTGTTGCGCTTTTGTGTTGCTGGATTAGCGAAATGAGGGATGGAGCCTTTATCTAATAAATTCCATTAATTTCTCCGTTCTAGCTGGCCGACGAGCTGACAAAGCAAGAACCAAGGGCGCAAGGCCCGACGAGCCGGCTGTCCTTCTTGGCCAATCACAACCACCGTCGCCTAGTGGAGCAGCACAACATGGCCCTAACTCTGCAATGCAAGGTCTTGGCTCAGGTATATTTGAACAGCTTGAACGCTAGTAAATCATTATTTGTAGAGTGAAGACAAAAAACGACAGTGGTGGCACGTAGAACTGGTGGACGCGACGGGAAAACCCTACAACGAGGCGTGCGACCAGTTGAAGGTATGGCTTTTATCGATTTGCAGTCAGAACTTTGTTTAGATGAAACTGCCTTGGAAAAAGTGTGGCTGCGATTGGCAGCAGGACACAGAGCGCGTCGGAGGCCAGCAGTACCCGGTCCCCGGACCAAGTGCTACCAGTTGGACAGGTAACGGCTCTTCGCCTCGATTACATTTTTATTTTAGGCCCCGGTATCCACCAAGTGCAAGCTACGCAGCAGTGGAATCCCGACACCACTGGCTACGCGCCGTTCCAGCAAGCCGATTGGGTGCCACACGACCACGATGAAGAATGGACCGGTGAGGCTTTGATGTTTGCCTGTCGAGGGTTTCCCCCGAAAACCGTGACCGTTTTTATTCACAATTACGCTCTGCTTCGCACATTTATACTTTCAGGAATGATGCCCGGCCCAAGCCACCCGACCAGCAGTGCTCCCGGTGGCTCGATGAAGCGCCATCGCTTTGAATAATCGATTGTCTTCCGACTGATTTCGTTGATTATTTTTGTATTTTTCAGCCCTCAGGCATGTTCTTTCGTTAAGCGCGCTATTTCAGTGATAGCCTTTTAGGGCGCGTAATGCAACTGATTACTCGAAGTTTTGTTGAAGGAAAAGTTATTACAAGAGTAACAAAATGTTTTGCGTTGCTCGAAATGCGTCTTAGTCTAGCCAAAAGAGTGGGAGTTTGTGCGTACAAGGAAAAATTTCGCGCCCCGTTGTAAGGCCTCGACCTGCAGAAGATACGCAATGAGCCGTTCTGCTTATTTTACTACACTCACCGTCAAAATATAATTGCGAACATGCAGCTAAATATTTTGTTACTCTTAGAATAGTTTTTCTTTGAACAAAACGTCGAGAAATCAATTGCATTACGCGGCCTAAAAGGCTGTCAATGAAATAGCGCGCTCAGCGAATGAACTAGTCTGCGAGCTAGAAACCCTTGCGTCTCCCTCTGTTGACTGCTTTTGAACTTGTTTTCGGGATGTTGTAGAATAAAGGGTTGACTCTGTATCGTTCAGTGTCACTTTCCCCCTGGGAAAACAGCAGACGCCGCCCGGTTCTCTTACGAAAATTGTTGATTGTTTATAGCTTTTTGGGCCAGAAGTTTTTGCCTGCGCTCGTTTACCGTCTCCTCGGCGCGCGTTTTAGCGCTGCATTCAGGGTGGGTAGGCCAGCAAAAGCGCTTGCAGGAACTCGTCTTCAATCAAGCAAAACAACATTTATTGTGTGACCCAAATCGATGAGTACGAAAACAGCGAGAAACCACGAAGTATACGCAAAAACCTTTGAAAATAGAATTTAGATAGAAACAATATGCGCGCGAGGGTAAATAAATGTCAAACAACGTGTCCAGTACGTACAAAACAGACAACAATGGCAAGAACGGGCGACAATATCACGAGAGTCCGGGGGTTATTCGAGCGCTTGCAACTGCTGCATCATCCGCGCCATATCGGGGGTCATCATGTGCTTGTCCTGCGGGTACCGGAATCTGGAACGAAACGGAATTCAAAATCTCTGCTACAAGGCATACCTGAGATCGGTGACGCCATTCTTGTAGACGAACAAATCCTTGGCGGGTGTCGAGGATCGCCGTAGAATCTGTTGGCCCCACGTGATCTCGACGATGTCGCGCCCGTTCGCGTTTACCTGACAAGGAAGCGCTTTATTGGGTAGGGGTGGGAATGATTTGAATATCGCAATTTCGGTATCTTCCCTCACGACATACAAAAATTCCGAATCATAATTTATCAAAAATGGACAATCGCGAAACTCTGTAAGCTAAAAAACGTACCCGTCTTGACGCCATCTGCGGGCTCGGCATATTCTGGAGATCGCGCAGCATCGGGCGCGCAGGCGCTGGAGGCGCCGCACGCGCATCAGCGGACGCCATCGACGACTGGGCCCGCGACATTGCAGGGGCTGAGCGAGCGACGGAGACGCTAAAAATTATATTTTGAAGGATCGACATATATTAACCTCCTTGGTATCGTGCCCGAAGGTGGCGGCGGCACTGCGGCCGCTCCAGCTATTCGCCTTTCCGGCGCGGGCGCGGGGCGCGTAGGGCAAAGTTTGCAACTAGGGCTAAACGATGATAATTCTTTCGAAAAAATTGCAGGTACCGCTTGCACAAAGAGCCGATCGTCACCGGAAATCGGCCGCATTTGTGCACGGTTTGCACGGCGATCGTCTCGAGGTCCTGGAAGAGGGCTCGGAAATTCTGCTCCTCGGCGCCTAAAACAATTTTGGGTTGGAAGACAAAAAATTCCTACCTGGTTCCATTGGCCTAGACTTTTCGCCGTTTCGCTCCAAAAGTTGATCACTTCCGGCTCGTTGACAGAGAGCGCGGCCTAAAATAAGTGTTCTAGTGAAGTGAGAGAGGGAGAGAGAGAGAGAGAGAGAGAGAGAGAGAGAGAGAGAGAGAGAGAGAGAGAGAGAGAGAGAGAAAGAGAGAGAGAGGGAGGGACAGAGAGAGAGAGAGAGAGAGAGAGAGAGAGAGAGAGAGAGAGAGAGAGAGAGAGAGAGAGAGAGAGAGAGAGAGAGAGAGAGAGAGAGAGAGAGAGAGAGAGAGAGAGAGAGAGAGAGACAGTCATATCCTACCATTCGACAATCGTATCCAGCGATCCCCATTCTCCATCACCTCGGCGCGTCCTTCCGGAAAGTCGACCGGATGCGGACATAGGACCTAGACCAAAAATCGTATTGAAAAATCGCTGCTACCTTCGCCACCGAGCCGCGCATCACATCCAGGGCTTGCCAGGCGGCCGTGTAGTCGGCCAAATCCTCGCCGGCCAGCTCTTCAAAACTAAAAAAACCGATTGAAAGATCCCAGAGCAGAGTTTACCTTCTGAATTCGCGCTTCGATTCCGCGTCGACTCTTGCGACGTCTTCGGCAAGCGTTGGTATCCGTAGCGTTGGCGAGCCGGGCTTGTAGAACCAGACCTAAAACGATATTTTAATCCTGAATTTCTATCTTCATTCCGGGGACACGAGGCTTAGCAATCTTTCGCCAATTTAACACCACGCACCCGTTGGTTAATCGGCGGCGTCTTCGACAGTGCAATCACCATGACGCGCGTGATCCGGTCGACCGAGAAGGCCTCGCGTATCAGATGCGTGCCCCGGACGATATACTGGAATTTGGAGCGTCACGTAGTCGCCGACATCAAACTGACCCTAGCCTTGACGGACAATTTCCGCTCCCCGTCCAACCGCTCCAGGTCGATCGGCCATCCGGTTTCACGCGCTAAAAAATGCAGGTATCGATCAGAAAGAATCAGTATCTTACTTCTCTGCACGGACACGACGCGCTGGCTGGCCGACGGAAACGCGCTGCACGGGTTTGAGGCGGTGGCGCGCCGCGGGGGCGGCATACTGCCGCTCGGGCGTCGTGGCACGGCGTTGGCGCTTCGTAGCGGCTCGCGTGGAACACGCTGAATTACGGTCTCCAGAACCGTCGATAAAATATACCGGAACGTCTCGTATCGGCGGCGCTTCCCAGTTGTGATCGCGGGATATGGAGCGCCGTGCTGGTTGGTCTCGCGCTGGAATTTAGAAATCACTAGGACAGGGCATAGTTACTCACAGTAAATACGCCCTCGTGACCGGGATCGCTCTTCGGCATTTCTGGATCGCCCATTCTCGCGCTGGAAAAGCAACATTTAAGCGTGCGTAACGTAGCGTGCCGACCTCATATCACTTTCGCTTTTCAAGCCATTACCTCCATTCTGCGCCGTTCTTGCGACATCCCACGCCCCGAGTCGTAGTCCCCATCTGAGGCGCGACGAGAGCTAAAAATCGAGATAAAAATCTAGAAAATTTATCGTACTATGATACCCCGCCGCCGAGCGCCGTCTGGCAATCCTTGTAGAAATCGGAGGACTGGATCTCTAAATGGCATTAGAAATAGTTCTTCAAAAAACCCCTCACCTTTCAATTTTATCCGCTGGTCACCGTCGTCCGTCATATCCATGATAAGACCTCGTGCCGCTCGACTTGTCACTCTTCTCAACATTTCATCCGTGATCCGACCTACTCTAAACAAGGGAAATTGGGAAGGTTATGCTTTCTTTTACGTTGGCGGCGAGCGATTCGTAAGCATAAAGTAGAAGAGGCAGCCCATCGAGTAGACGTCGACGCCTTCGTCGTAGCCACCTCGGCCCATCACCACATCACTAAAATCGAATCTGTTTCAACGGCAAAAATCCAAACATAAAACAATTCAATAATGTTCAAAAAAATTCAGGTGGAAATTTGAGACTTAACCTATCGAGAAAACCTGGAAACTCACGGTGCCATATAGCCGGGAGTGCCGAGAATCGTCTTTGGGTCGACGCCTTTCCGGTCTCGCGAATAGCTCAAGCCAAAGTCACAGAGTTTCTGAAAGAATTTATCCGCTTCGAGGCTACAAAATTACTATTAACAATTTCTCGTAGCAATCGGCGGCCGTGATCTGGGCGATGAGGACGTTGCCGGCGCTGAGGTCGCGGTGGATCACTTTCATCATGTGCAGGTAGCGAATGCCCGAGACGAGCTGCCGAAGGACGTGGAAAGCTAAAAATCATTTTTCAGGAGCTCAAGAGCTCAAAAAGGAGCTCAAAAGGCTGTTCTTTAGGATTACGGGGGGCAGGGAAAACCATTTTATTTGTCCTATAAGCCCAGAAATGCCTAGTAACGCAATACTAAGTTTCTTAATGGTGCTGTTCGCAAAATTTACTATATTTTATTAAGTTGCCCCCGCCCCCGATAATGCTATGGAACCCAAAAAGCTCGAAATTACCCGCGTAATCGTGCATCGGCTGGGCGCGTGCCCTCATGTATTGGCTCAACGAGCCGTGCTTGCAATAGTCCATCACCAGGAATATTTCTTGGCCCTGCAAAAAAAGTCGTAATCTCCGGAAAATACGCTCGAACCTTGTAGTACCACCCATGAAAGGTGACGATGCTGGGGGAGTGCAAGTTCTGCAACGCGTACACCTCGTCCGAGATTCGATGGCTTTTCGGGTCTTTGAGGTCGAGCTAAAAAATACAATTTTAAGGAAGGGAGTTCTTGATTTTGTTAGTTGTTCAGGAAGATCGTATCTTTTTAAACAGGCCACTACTACAAAAGTGACGCTTTTGGAAAACCAGATTATGTATGGTAGCGAGAACGGCAAAAGGTCAAGTGATGCTGATAATGAACGACTCCCTATCATACTACCAAAGCCCGGGTCCCGCCCACACCAATTATAAGCTTCACCAGTGCTTTGAAAAACAAAATACCACTTTCTAGCCCCTAGTCGAGCCCAAAAACCCACCACTTTGATGGCCACCGTTTCTCCATCCCTTTTCCGGAGCGCTCGATATATCCGGCCGAATCCTCCGCGCCCAAACGGTTCGCGCTCGATTTCAAAGTCCTAAACGAAGCCGGGTTTTGTCAAGAATTGCATGAAACTACCTCCTCCGACACTGATGACTCGGGCATCGGTCGATGCCCCAATTCGCCGGCGCCTTGATGACAGGGCTTCTGAAAACAAAGGCGTTAAAACAGGCAGGAAAGGCATCGAAATGAAGAAAGCAAACGATATGGAACAGGAAAAGTACAAGAATTCATAAAAAGCTCTCTAATGGCCTAGCATTCAATGGAATAAGAAGCGCTTTTTAGTATTTTTACGCTGGTCAAAATCATCGAAAATCAAAACCAAAACGTCTAGCGCGGAAAAACAGTTGGCCTTTTTGATATCGAATCCAAAGAAATAAACATTAATAAAGCATTCGCGCCAAGGTATCGATCATTTTAGATATATTTAAAACTAGCTTCTTATTATTTTTACGCTTGTAGTGGCACAGATTCGAACCGGCCCCGTTCGCGCCAAAGCAGTCGCCCCGCATTCGCCCTTCCCCGCCCTCGTCACAAGCCCGTATTCAATGTTTTTCTTATCGAAAAAACGCTTTTATGGTGTTGTGATAGCTGGGCGGTCAGGTGAAGCCGACCGCAAAGCTTCAGTACACTTTCTTTGCCCTGGTGTCCGCGTAATGCCGGAATTTTTTGAGGTTTGGGCCTAAATCTATAGATCTTGTGGTTTTTGCGCATGGTTCTGCTAGTCCTTGTGCTTCATTTGAAGCCCTTTTCATCGAAAACACCTACTAAAACTCGGGGAAAGTTCAACTGAACTGCAGTACATTTACTTTCCCCCCGGGCACCCGCCGTCAAGTATGCCGTTTCGAAGCGCGGTCCTAAAATTCTGGATCTTATGGGTTTTCAAGGTTGTTTTGTGTTCCTGAGGCCTCATTTCAAGCCTTTATTTTCAAAAACACATGCTAAAACTCGGGAAATGGCCAAAGTACTTCACGAAATCTGCTACCATCATTTTCCAACCCGCCCCGCTTAGCCGCTGCCCTTTCGACGTCAGTCCACTGGCGTGCGCGTGGTTGTCACTAGAGTTGTTATCTGGCCTCCGGGTCCGGGTACCCGGTTGCGAACGGGTAGTTGGTGCGAGCGGGTCCGACCGGGTACCCGGTCGCGCGGGTAATTGGGTCGAGCGGGTCCGAGCGGGTACCCGGTCGAGCGGGTAATTGGTCGACCGGGTCCGCCAACGGGTACCCGGACCTGGAGGCCAGATAACAACTCTAGTTGTCACCAATCCAGGCGAACAACGACGCTTGGCTGACCATCTGGTAACAAAGTATCCCTGCTCCCCGGCGGGCTTCTTGTGACCAACATGACCTTGGCGCTCGGTTCTTTTCTTGGCAACGATCCGGAGAGATGGTCGACCAGGAGAGGGCGAAACGGGCGGGAAGAGCACATTCCTCGCGCCCTGACAAATTGCCCGTTATTTTGGCTGCAACCTAAGAAAAAACCGCCCACCAATTAGGGGCTGAATCCGCGCGCATTTGGTCGCAGCAACCGAAAAAAAGCGCTGCTGACCTTTTTCATGAGGAGTTAATTTGAGCCAGGGTCTTTACCTTTTTGTTCCTGTAAGCGAGCCAGTTTTGGATTTCCCCGCAGAAAGCACGCTTTACCCCCTTGATTACGAGACAATTTTAACCACCTATTAGGTTGTAAAATAAACCTATACTACTAGAACCACTAAAACCACGAAACTAAAGCTTGTCGAAAACGATTCCAGGAACTTTCGTCGCCCTGAAAAGGTCCGTTTTCAAATGTCGCTCCGCTTTCTGAGTCAGTCCTCTCAAAATAGTCCCTTTTCAAAAACTATAAAAATGACGCTTTCCCAAAACCATCGAAATACCACCGATTCGCGTCATTTTCCCCGGAAACCGTTGACTAACGAGCCGCCCAGCTCACCTTGAGCGCTTTTCGCGCCTTGGCTCACGTGCCGGTTTTGGTTTCACCATCGCGCAGCCCGGGCGCCCATCCCGTATTTGCGCAAATGGGGGAAACACACACAAATGCAGGGCTCCGCGCTGCCGGTGAGTCATGTTTTGGAGGCGGAACGCTGGCGCGCAGAAAACACAGCTGGGGTCGCCCACCGAGCGGTCGATGTGAAACAGGGCGCCGGTGTCTTTTCGATTCATCTTTTCCTTCCTCGTTGACGCGATTCCGCCCTCGAACACATCTTCAAAACACACATCGGGCACGTGGTTTGGTTGTTATTCCATCGGATAGCCGATCGGCAGCTCAATGTTTTGCTTTTGTTTTAGAAAATTTTGAAAAAAATCGCGACTTGCGACCGTCGAAAGCCTCCGGATTTAGTCTTGGAGTTTTAGAATTCAACTTTGCTTTAAAAAAGCTGTTCTAAAATGGGGGGGGGTCTTGAACCTCCAAAACGTTTTGGAGAATTGCCAATTCGCCAGTTTTAAATTTTTGTTTATAGGAGCGTTCGTACATAAGTATTGCATCCAATTCGGCTCCTATTTTTAGTTCTTTTTCAATTTACTAGGAATAAATCGATGCCGTCCACAATATATCTTATTTCCTGAATTCTTCTTTGATCTGTCGGCCCACTCGCGGCCTCTTTTGCCATTTCTAAACATCCGTCTTCACTGACCATTTTCTCTTTTCCATTTCCTCGACCCTTCACCTGGTCTCAAATTACCCGGCATTCATCACAATCGTCCATTCAGAGCTATTGCGTCGACGAAAATCGCGCAGCCGACGCTGTCGGGCGTAGGCGGCGGCCGCGGCGAGCTGGTGGTCGGCCATGGGCACGACACGTTGAAAGGTTGGTTGAATGAATTGGCAAGACTATGATTCACTGCCTTTTCAAGGCAGGTATTCCGAGCCAGCGTTGGCGGTATAAGAAGCAGAACTCTGAGATTACATCTCATTGTTTAGGGATGAAGAACTGTGGGGTGTTGATCGACCCGCGCGACTACCGTTCATTTTGTTTCCGAGGCGAGGGGCGCGCCAATTTTGTCATCTCGGCGAAGAACGAGGCCACCGGACAGAGGTATATCTTTTGCAAGGCTTTTTACCCTTATTCTAGAGAATTTGAAAAAATTTTAAAGCTTGGCAGGCACGTAGTTTACCCCCAGCCGGGCGGCCTGGCTTTGCGATTTCGGCTCCCCTTGTCTTTACAGGGCTGTAAAGTTTACCAAAATCTTCGCCGTGCTCCAATTTTTCAAATTTCATTGCATTCGAGTTTCGAGTCGCAAAACTAGCCTCAGACAACAAAACGGAGGTGGAAACCCGGAATTTCGCAGCGGGAGAGGCAAACTACACTTTAGCCAGAAGCTTTTTCTTAAAACTACTTTCCAGAATCGTCTGGCGCTTCGCCAAACAGCGAAAGTCCGGGCTTCTCACCGTCAAGGCGCGAAGCGAGCTGGTGAACAATTATATGAATCGACTGATCGCCCCGCTCTTCTCGCCCCACTACCTCGTCTCGCCCCGAATGGTCAATTTTAGGGTGGAGGGCGTGCATCAAATTGCAAAGGTATTTTGAGGGCGAATAAACTAAATATTGTTTTTAGATCCCGTCTCTTCCTCCAAATCGAAAAATCGAGCGTTACGAAGATCTCTTCGAACTACCAGAGAGCTCGTCGTTTTTCCCGTTGAACGCGATCCCGAAGGGGTGCAGCAGGTAAATCACTATTTCCTTAGTCTGAGGGATTCTTTCGTTATGTCGCGGCCGGGGGAGGGCATCAAAATTTTGTCCAATTTTGCAATATATAAATAGCGGAAGTGCGTCCAAACTGTTTTTTTTTACTATTGCTAAGAGTCTTACAAATTTTGATTACACAACAGCTTGAATAAACCATTCATATATTTAAAATTTACAAAAAATATAGATTTTTTCGACCAAAAATTGTAGCTTTTGGCCAAAATTTCACCTTTAGAGGCTTTGAAAGGTTCTTGGTTAGTTTTTCTTGTTGAAGTTAGCTGTTCTATTTTTTAATTTTCTTAAAAACTGATTAAAAGGCGCCCTATTTAGTTACCCCTACCCCGGCCAATAATACGAAAGAACCTTCTCAGGGTTCTATAGTTTTAGGAGACATGGAATCGAGCATTTCGTGTTGGGGTTTTTGTTTTGCTGGTTTTTAGATCTAAAAAATAGTAAAGATTCAGACTTTTCAGAATCTCGGCTCTCGAAATGGTGGACGCGACCCGGATCCCAAAAGAAGTCGATTGTTTCTACGGGCCTACGATTACGGTTTGCAGCTTTATAATTAAGCAATCGGTTGAATTTAGGTGGAGATCAAGCCGAAGCAGGGCTTCTTCCAGCGGCACGCCGGCTTTGAGCTGTCCCACTGCAACAATTGCGTACTGCAGGTAACTTTGAAGATAGACCATTTTTAGTTTTATATTCATCCCCATGTTTAGATCGAAAAGTGCTCATCTGATTCCTTCGAGACGATGTACGACTTTTGCCCTCTCGACTTGTACTCTGGCGAGCTGGGCCGGATGCGCGCGTCGTTGGAAGCGCTTTTCAAAGTGCCCCATAGGTACATTTTGTCGTTTGGTTCATTCGGGGGAACCACCTTTTTTGAGGATGACATTTTTCTACTACAAATCGAGAAATTAGCGTTTTAGACCTTTTTTACCGTAGCTAAACGTAAAAACATTACAAATTTTGATAAAAATAACGAAAAATATCAGGTTTTCAACCAAAAAATTTCCGTAAAAATGTTTTCTAAATTTTTAAAAAACTGTTTTTCCACTTAGAAGATAGTTAAAATGTGGGCAAATTTATGGTAATGATGTTGGGTTTTTAGAAATCTCCGCGTCTTCGTCAACGGCGACATGGTGCACTCGGACGAGCGGGCGCTCGAGTTCGAGAAGCTCGACGCCGTCCTGTTCCCCGACGGCTCGCAGAACATCTACGGGCTGATTGATGCGGTGGGGGTTTAATAGAAACGTTAAAATTAGTGAATGTTAGCTAGGATCTATTTAAAAGTTTAAACCTATTTTTGCAGCTCTGCTGCGCCTTGGCGGGTCAACGAAGCGCCGACGCCGCGAACTTTTGCATTACGGCCGACTCGGTGCTGGGGCAAATCCAAGCTGGCCAAGTGGTAGGCTTCAACTCTGTTCAAGTCTATTGATTTTCTACCGTTTCACGCTCTTCCGAAACGTTTTTTATTAAAATACATAAAATAACAGATTTATGTATTTTAATAAAAAACGGACCTAATTAGGAAAAGTTTCTAAAGTTTTCTGAGTGCCTTTTACCTCAAATATATTTAGTTAGGGTTTTAGTAAAATTCTTGCTATGACTTTACTAGGCGAAGTGTTTCTGGACTTTTACGAAAACAATTCGACCCCCGATAATTCATAAGGACTGGGCTTTATGATTGTCTGTGTATTTACGAAAGGATTCAAAGTGTATAGCATCGATTTTTTAGATCGACAAAATCGGAATCGCCGAGGCCCACGCCCTATTCACCAGGCTGCCCGCGCACGATCAAAATCAACTGAAGGAACGCGGCGCCCTGGCCAAGCGCACCTTGGGATTGTTAAATGGTAAATTATTGTTTTTTTTAAAGTTAAAGTTGACGATTATTGAATTTTTAGAAACCGATGACCGGGCGCTTCTGGAGCAATACTTCCTGGCGGCCACGATGAAGGACTGCTCGGTGATGATCTCGCTGCGCATGGTGCCGGCCGCTGTTGCGGGGACGGTCGCGCTGGAGGATACGGTGATTGGTGTGTTTTTGGCGTTGTTGTCGGCTACGACAAACCCCCAAAGAATCGTAATTAATAGGATTTTGTTGTAAACGTTTTTCTCGAAATTAAGGGGCATAAATTTTTCAAATTAGCAAGATAACATAAATGGAGAAAAATTGGCGACGAAGCTTAAGATTTCGGTATAATCTAATTCCTTTATTTAGTCGCTGTCCAAGACGTCTTCTTCGCCGTCTCCCTCAAAATCGTCGACCTCGACCCGAAGAGCGCCAAGAATTTGGTGAACGCTTACGAAAGGTGCGTCGTCGTTTTGTGATACCTGAAAGCTTAGTAGTTGCGTAAAGTTGCGTAAAAGCGTGTTTTGTTAGGTGTTTTGTAAATAATCTTAGTGATTTTTTATCTAGTGTAAAATGTAAATCTTGAAAAGATCTACGCTCACCATTTTTCAGATTCACTTCCGGCGCCGACCTCCTCGCCAAGCAACCGACACTCCGGCGCCCCTGCGTGCACATCACTAATAGTGCATGAGATGTGCTGGCCTTGTTTTTTTCCGATTTGTTGTGAGTTTTGGGTTGATTGCCATTTCGTTTTTTTTTAGCCTGTTGCGCTTACCTGTGATTTGCGAAACCCGGTTCTACGAAAGTGTACTTTTCTAGACTTCTACTCCCGTCCCCTGTAGTTAATTCCTGGCCCCAATGATTTTAAAGCTCGACATAGTCACAAGATTTTTACCCAATCGGTAGCTAACCACTTGATTCGTAATTTGTTAATCTTTTTTTGTTTGTTTCTAGTTTCGCATTATCGGAAAGGGGAAAAACCAACTTTTTCTTAGGATCCAATTTTTAACTATGAATAATGCAAGTGTTGGAAACGGTTTTTTTATTCCTAAACGTGAAAACTTTAAAAAAATAGCAAAAACATCCATGTTTCGACCAAAATCTCGATGAAGTTTTTTGAAATTTTGAAAGTTTTAGATGGGTTTTCGACTGGAAATTCAGTTATCCTTTGCCAAAAGCATTATTAAGACCTGCGTATGAAGTTACTAGACATTTCTAGGGTTATACAAGAAAAAGTTTGTCCTCGATACCCCCCGATAATGCGAAAGAACCAGAAACTCGATTTAGTCACAAGGTTTCTCCTCCCTAGGAGGCTAACCTATCGGTTTACAGAATTTTACGTTTTTTAATACGTTGCCATGCTTTCTTCACTTTTCTGCCTGCTTTCCAAGAAATTATGGAAATTGCCTTTTCGATTCCTCTGTGCATAATTCGCCTCCTGCCATATCCGAGCCCCACTCCCACTCACATTCCGTCGCCCGTCGACCACACCATCAACACAATCCGCCCGAAAAACCGGTTACAAAACACTCATTTTCACTTTTGACACACAATATACACCCCCCGATTGCTCACGCTACTTGCCTCGTTTGCTGAAAAGATACTTGTGATGATGACAAGGACATTTATGTCGATTTGCACGAATAAACGATTAAAAACCTGCTACCCGGCGCCCCGATCCGAACAATAGCATTGCCCGGTGCACACGAGAGATATTTGCAAGCAATCCCGCAAAATACGAAGGTCGAAGGGCAACTGATGATTTTTTTGAGGGTAGTCAAGCCGTGTCGACACGTTGACGCGCCACGGCCACGAGCCGCCCAGCCAACTTTCAGCACCCCAGTGTACATGTCCGTTGGCTTATGCGCTTCTTCCCAATCAGGTATACGAGTTTGTGGTGATGTAAAGATGGTAAAGCGCTAAGCGGGCCTACTCCTCGACAAAATGGCGTAGTTTTCGTAGTCTTTCATGCAGTTGCTTTGAATTTTATAGGGTAAAAGGTGGGGCATGTTTGCTATTTTAGACCCTTTTACTTAGCTTTTTTGAGCAGTTTCTGATAACAAGGACGTAAAAGCGTGCGTTCTAAAAAGTTGCAGGCACTTTTGCTCCCAGGGGACCGCCGAATTGTGACCCGGCGATTAGAAGCTTGTTTCGTTGGCTTTTTGAGTGATTTAGCTCGTGAAGTTGAACTTTGTAAACTGGGTCCTTGGTCCTTGAAGTTTTATATAGCTCTTTTGCATTGTCGCGTGGCGGGGGGGTGTCAAACACTTTTTTACGATTTCGGAACGTAAAGGTTTTTCCGAACCAAAATGGTCGTTTTTGGCAAAAATTTCAACGTTTTTCTAGTTGTACTATAGTTTTATTTTGCTAAAAACATTTTTAAAATACTTTCGCTTACTTGCTAGGCATTTCTAGACGTATACAAAAATTTTCTGGCCCCGAATCCTTTATTTAGCTAAATTAGTGGAATGACGACATGTTTTTTTGAACCTTTGAACGTTTTGACCCGGCATTGAACGAATCACGCCCTAGATCAGCACCATTTCCGAGAGTTATACTCCCCGGGGAACCGGCTATGTAAATTCCACGGTTTTTTTGAAAGTTTGTACGTTTAGAAGCTCTCTAGAGCCTCCATTTTCTGGAAATTACTATGGTTCTTGACTGTTAGCGGGGGGACCACTTTCTGTTTTGCACCTGGTGATAGTATATTATGTATTTTTGGTAGTTTTTGATTGTTAGAAAGTTATAAAAAAATAGTTTTAAAAATCTTGAAAACTGAGAATTTTGACCTTTTTTTGGTCATTTTTCGTACATTTTTGAGCAAAAAGTTGACATTTCTCTAAAATTATGATTGTTTTTTGATAACTTTTGTATATCTAAAAATAGGATGCTATGAAATGCTTGACATTTTGTTATAGGGCCGTAGAGAAGCACAGGGAAAAGTGGTTGCCCGCTAAATCCCCCCGTTAACAGTCCAGAACCAATACGATTACGACAGGTCAAAGCGGGGGCGCGGCTCGCCGTCCTCGCCGGCTTATCAAATCCACAACCCGCAAGCCGGCGATATTTTAGCCATATCTCGCCTTCCCGTTTTTCTCTTTTCCTGCTCGAATGCCGCTCTGTATTTTTTGGTGGGTGTCGAGGAGTGAATGTGCAATCCGTGGCGGCTAGCCGATAGAGAAACGCGTGATCCGGGCCCAGCGTCTTCCCTTTTTTTGAAAATGCTGACTGTTCGGCTTCGGCAGCGGCTCAGTTTGGTTTTTTTTGAAACTTAAACTATGTATTTGGGCGTTTGGATTCTCATTAATTATTTTTTAAATTTTCTAATACCCTTGTGCATGTTTTTCGCTCCCTAATAGTAGTAGCTTAGCACTGCTGTTAGTGTTTATTTTTATAAAGTTTTTGGAGAATCGTTGTTTTTTTAAATTCCATTCGAAAGCCTGGTTCCGTTATTTTTAATTTTATGAATTTTCAATAGTCTGATTTCTCGTTTTTTTCCTCGAAAAGCCGTTATTCCGTTAGTTTTTGGTTTTTGAAGTTTTCGAGAGTATTATATGCTTTTTTGCTCCTCTAAAAAATGGCGATTCGGTTGCTTTTTTTTGGGTTTTTCGGTCAACCATTTGGTCGATTCCATTCTATAGGATCCTCCCAAAAACTGGCAGACTAGCAGGGATTCTTCAGGAACGCACGGAGCCCCCTCTTTTTCTGCCCGCGTTTCAAAAACCCTATAAAATTTCACATTTTTAGGATCCAAACGGCGGGGGAAACTCGAAAATAGAGCCTCTCAGCGCCCCGGTGCTGCTGTCATTTTTGTGCTTTTTGCGCGCGTCGAAATTTGATGCTTTTCTGCTTTGTGCCGGGCGAAAGCACCACTTTCCGGTGATGAGAATTATGGGAAGCCGATTTTTTCGGCCCGAAAATTGTACTTTTTCTTTTGGGGTGTATGGAAATGCTCCGGACCTTTGCGGTTTCACCTGGACAATTTGGCAATAAAAAATAGAATCGCGTATGAGGATAAAATAGCGCTTTTTGCGAGCTTGGGATACCTTTTAAAGTGTGATTTTGTGTAATTTCACGTGTGAAATAGGATTTGATTTTAATGTGAATAGCTGCAATCGCTCAATTAATCGTGTTTGCGGTAAAAAAAACAATTAAAATGGATTTTTTTTTTCTGTTTCTGAAAGGGCGATTTGGCCAGAAAAGCCAGTTCGGGGTCTAGGATTTCTTAGCGTTGGTTGGACTAAAACAACTTTATTTTCCGCTAGCAGCTGCGCATTTTTAAGGTAATTTCGATGTCTTAAAAATTTCTATAAAAAAATTCCCAGAATTTTTGTGCGACAGACTTCAAAAAAATATAGGCCTGATCTCAGAATTGGGACGTCATGTTGAAATTCAGGCAATCAAAAAAATGTCCCGTGGTTCTCGCGGCGTTTTTTGTGGTGCCTTAACTATAAGTATCAGAGCCGTTACCGATAAAGTGCACCCTGATAGCCCCCGGAAACACGTTTACCTTGCGAAAATCGCTCGGCTTCACCGCCTCGGGTCTCTTTTCCTCAATTCACCCTGGGGCTATTTGCGCCGCCGACCCTCCCTCGCCCCCTTATCTAACACACAAATATACACATCCTTTTGTCTGTCCGAGTCGCCGGCGTTCTTCGCACTATACACCCCGAGAATTTGACGGTTTTTCGGCGCGTAAAAAATTGGTTTTTACAATTTTTTTTGGGGGACTGGACTGTTAGCAGGGGGAGCACTTTTAGCTTTTTTTTGTTTGTGACATATAAGGAATTTTGATTTCATTTTATATTCTGCGGTTTTTGAATGCTAGAAAGCTGCACAAAGTATTTTTTAATTTCTCAAAAATCGAAAACTTTGACCGTTTTTGGCCATTGTTCCCGGCGTTTTGACTACAAAGTCGAAAATTTTCAGAGGTTTTCATAATTGTTAATGTTGTTTTTGGATCTAAAAACGATGTATAATTACTGCGAAAAATTCGGGCTTCCTCCCGCTACGACCCCCCCGCTAACAGTCCAGAACCATTTTTTTTTGGTCGTCAGTCCAGAACCGAGCTGCTGGTTCCGCGATTTTCCTAGCAACGCTGAGCTCGGTTTTTACCTTTCCAAACTAACTGGTGTGGCTAGTCCCTTTAAAACTCGTCTATTTCGGGGTTTTCGACGTGATGCATTAAATTTGCGAATTTTTGAAGGCGCTGTCTTGACCAGGAAATTCCGCGCGTTTCCTATCAACTCTGGCGTTAGCTTTTAGCCCTTTCTAAACAAAACAGAGTTGCTGGCCCCTTGAAAATTCGATTTTCCAGGTTCGCCGGGCCGACCACGTTCCACCAGCTGAGCAGCACGATGAGCGGTGGCGCCTCGAGGATCGACACGATTTTAACGAAGGTGAGCGAGTCTGGCTACTCGATCGGGAAAACAGATTCTTTAATGGTCTCTGCTAGCTGGCCTTGCTTTCGGCGTTTCGGTGATAAAAATTAAAAACCCTCGTGCTGACGAGCTTTTATCGGATTTCCGGTCATATCTCCTAAATACATATCTCCTAATTCCATATCTCCTAAAGTCATATCTCCTAAAAGTCATTTCTCCTAAAAGTCATTTCTCCTAAAAACCTTACTTCAGGAATTCAGTAGATACAAGCAAAAATTTTTGTAATTTTTCTCGAAACATCTACAAAACCGCCCGCAGGCTTCGAAAAAACCCGATTCGAACATTCTAAAATGGTCGGATAATAGTGAAAAACATCGGATCAAACGCAAGTTAGCTGTAAATTAAGCAAAAGTTTCGCGCCTGTAAAAAGCTAAAACATATCATATCCGATGTCAACATAAAAAGGGAAGTTAGGTTTTTAGTTCGGGTTTTTCGAAGCCTGCGGACGGTTTTGTAAATGTTCCGAAAACAATTACAAAAATTTTTTGCTTGTATCTACTGAACTCCTGAAGTAAGGTTTTTAGGAGAAATGACTTTTAGGAGAAATGACTTTTAGGAGAAATGACTTTTAGGAGAAATGACTTTCAGGAGATATGACTTTTAGGAGATATGACTTTTAGGAGATATGACTTTAGGAGATATGGAATTAGGAGATATGTATTTAGGAGATATGGAAATGACCCCTTTTATCGTGATTTGCGTTAATTTTGGCTGCTGTTGGCAGGCTCAATCGACGCATTAATAGCAAACGAATTCCCTAGTTGTCTCTGCTAGCCTGCCCTGCAATCGCCGGGTCAAAATACCTCCCCAAAAGGCGGAAAAGCTCTTAGAAAACTTTTAATACCACAATTTCAGAAAGCCCACCCGCCGTTCAACCCCCGACGCGTGCTGATCCTCTCGAAAATCACGCGCTACGAGTTCGAGAAGCGCTTCCACTCGGAAGTGCACGAGGAGAATCAGCTCAAGGATTTGGTGAGTTACAGAGCCCCCTTTTTATGACTTGTTTTCTTACAGCTAAACAGCCGTGGGTCCGACTACAATCGCCTGCTCACCAAGCACCAGCAGCACGAGGCCTACGTCGACAAGATCAAGTCCGAGCTCGAGTGCGTGAGTTTCTGGGGCGGCGGTGGCGTTTTTGAGATCTTTTTCCTTCCTGCATTAAAGGGGCACCTTCAGCAGCGTCGGTTTTTCATGAACCGTGGAAAACCATGAACTCGTGGCGTAGCCTTCCGTCACGCCACGAGAAAGAACCCTAGCGTGCGTTGCGCATCGCGCGGAAAAATGAGAAGCGCAAAATTCGTATCCAGCGAAATCAAAAACCTTGTAGGTCCTTTGAATGGACGGCGGTCCGGTTTAAAGGAGCTGTGAAGCGTATAAATTGACCCCGCCCCTCCGCCAGGTCTCGACACGTCCTACACGCAGGAAAAAGCAATTTGTGGTTATACACAATCAGGGACGTAGCGTAATACAGCCCCCCTCCCCCCCTTTTTTTCCCCGTTTTTACGGCTATTTGTAGAGCTATGTAACCTTTTTTCAAAAATGTTTGCCTGCGGCGCTGTTTTCTCGCTAATGTTTTGAGTTTTTTGGACAAATTTTTTGGGCCCACAATCCCAGTTTGGAGCGTTTCAAGCGTGTTTTGTCGTTTCGCGTAGCTGTCTAGACCTAGTCGTGCGGAAGGGTCGAAAGTCCCATTTTCTACTATCTTTAATTCCAACTTCTTTCAGGAAACACAAAATCGAGTACCGCGTCGTGCAACGGTTCGACTACGACGATGAAGCCGTCGAGTGGGCCGACGCGGTGATGACGGCGGGAGGTGAGAGAATTTTTACTGGTTTTTAAAGGAGTGGTGCCATGAAACCGCTAAAAATTGCGCAAATTTTGTGCTACTGCTGGCACGCTCCATTTAAAACCGGATTTTTTTTTCGTGGTAGAAATTTATAACGATTTTCTAGGCGACGGCACCTTCCTGCTAGCCGCCAGCAAAATAAAGAGCCGCGAGAAGCCGCTGATCGGCATCAACACGGATCCTCAAGGGTATTTGCTAGCTTTTTTGAAGGTTTACCGTTTACTTTCAGTTCCGAGGGCTACATGTGCTTGATGCGCAAGCTGCCGAAGGAACGATTCGGCTCGGCGTTGGCGCAACTACTAGAAGGCGATTTTAAGTGAGTTTCTAGGTGGTTTGTGTCGAAATTTCGTTGGTTCGAAATGCCATGATGCCAGAATATCGAAAGTTCGACATGTGGAAATTTTAGAATACCGAGACTCGGAATTTGGAAATGCTGAATGTCGAAATTCGAAATGTCGCGCGATGCATAGCGTCGAAACTCGGAATTTCGAAGTGCATAGCGCCGTAATGCATAACGTGGAAATTCAGAATGTCAAAACGTCGATCTTTAATTGTAAAAATTTCGAAAATTCTATCCGATATTTTTAGTGTTTGGAGAAAAACGTGATACTTTTTCTTGAAAATGCTGAAAAACGACTTAAAAATTCGGGAATTTTAAAAATATCTCCTCAGCTCTCGTCGAGAGCTTTCTATTGATAACTGAACCAAAAAAATCGAACACGTACATTCCGGTTTGCCAAATCTCGAATTTCCAAGCCCTGACGTTCCAAGCCATGACATTCTTAATTTCGACACTCTGACTGCCGAAGGGCTGAATTCCGGCCTGCCGATCCCATTCGGAAATCGAAATTCGGCTGGCAAATCGACTACGTTACTTTGCAGATGGATCTGGCGACAGCGGATCCGGATATCTGTCACATCGGACCGCGCGCTCGAGACGCCCGTCGAGCTGCATGACGAGCAGCTACGGAGGACACCGTCGACGACGAGATGGAGAGAAGAACGCCAGACCCGAGAGAGCAGGTTGGACTTTGATCGGCTTTTCGAGCTTCTGAGTCTCTTTTGGAGGTCTCCGGAAGTCATTCATAAAAACATTTGTGAAAAAACCTTTTTTTAGAATAATCAGAGGGCGCCCGTCTGGCCGCAGGGACGACTCGGAAAAGAAGTCCGAAATGATCACCCAGCAGCTGCCGGTTTTGGCGTTAAATGAGGTGCGTTTTGGGGTTTTAGAGGGACTCGAAAGCGCCAAGGGTAAGAGTCTAGAAAACCCCCCCCCAGCCATAACTTTTCAGCCATACGTCCTATTAATGCGTGGAGTATCTCAAAATGTTTGCCGTCGTCGAATTACGATAGAAAAGTCGTTTCCATACATCAAAAATTGTTAGAAAATTTTTTACAAGATTTTGAAAGTTGAAAAGATTAAGCCGCGTGCTTCGATGTACCAGAAGTCAAAAACTCAAATATTTTTATTTTCCGCTATTTTTTCGGCTCAAGCGTACTGTAGGCTGATTCTACAGAGCACGAGCTACATTTTGGTACCATTGACAGCTCTGTACGACAAAAGATAGCCGAGATACGAAAACTCACTTTAGACCAGGAAAAATTAACTAAAGAAAACCCAGACGTATAATTGTTATAAAAATTTTTCCAACAATTTTTGATGTATGGAAACAACTTTTCTAGAGTAATTCGACCACGACGAACATTTTGAGCTACCCGGCGCATTAATAGGACGTATGGCTGAAAAGTTATGGCTGGGGGGGGGTTTCTAGACTTGAGCCGCGCCAAGATCACCCTTCCATGGACGAGGTCTCGACAGCTACGCCACAATCCAAAATACGCCCCAGCCATATTTTTGAATGTCACTTGCAAGGGGCTGTCGAAATGTAATTGACACGTATTGGGTTTATTGCGTAACTGTTGAGACCTAGTCGAGAGGAGGGGCCGGTTATCGCACTACCCAGTCCCTTTAACAGACCTATTTCTTCCAGGTATTCATCGGCGAAAGCCTCTCATCCCGCGTCTCCTACTACGAGCTGCAGATCGACAGCGGCAAGTTGGTCAAGCAGAAGAGCTCGGGGATTACGATTTGTACAGGTATTTGTGGCAGAATTTTTTTTAGAAAAAATTTCTTTTAGGAACCGGGTCCACCAGCTGGTACTTCAACATCAACAAGCTGACCGAGCAGTGCGTCAAGGATTTGATCGGGATTATCGAGGAGAAGAGCGGCGTCAAGGTGAGGCAAGCTAGCGGGGATCATTTGGGAATGGAAGGGGCAGGCTAGCAGAGATCATTTGGGAATGGAAGGGGCAGGCTAGCAGAGATCATTTGGGAATGGAAGGGGCAGGCTAGCAGAGATCATTTGGGAATGGAAGGGGCAGGCTAGCAGAGATCATTTGGGAATGGAAGGGGCAGGCTAGCAGAGATCATTTGGGAATGGAAGGGGCAGTCTAGCAGAGATCATTTGGGAATGGAAGGGGCAGGCTAGCAGAGATCATTTGGGAATGGAAGGGGCAGGCTAGCAGAGATCATTTGGGAATGGAAGGGGCAGGCTAGCAGAGATCATTTGGGAATGGAAGGGGCAGGCTAGCAGAGATCATTTGGGAACGGAAGGGGCAGGCTAGCAAACTTCATTTCGGAAATAAAGGAATTTTTCCAGATACCGCGCGACAAACCGACACTAATCGAAGATGTCTGCCTGCGCTTTAACGAGCAGCTCATCTACGACCCGGAGGCGCAAAGTAAGCGCAATTCTTGCTTGTTCATTTTTTGACTTTTAGAGCTGGCATTCGCGATCCGGGACCCGATCTTCAACGCCACTTTTCCGACTACGAAGGCCCGGGGGCATGCCGACCAGATACGCGTGAAAAGTCGAGGTTACGATGCGCATTTGGTGAGTCGCTCTCTCTCTCTCCCGCTATATGTATCTCTCTCTCGCTTTCTCTCTCTCTCTCTTTCTCTCTCTCTCTCTCTCTCTCTCTCTCTCGCTCTCTCTCTCTTTCTCCCTGTGTCTAAAACAATTTTTCCAGGTAGTCGACGGCGGTGTCTCCTTCCACTTCAACGACGGTGCCGAAGCGGTGATGAGCGTGCACGAGGAAGACGCATTGCGGACGGCCGTTTTTCGATGATCCCCGCCTTCCCGGCCCTTTCAGAATGCCATTACCCGGTTTCCTACCATTCGCTCATCCACTCGAGTGTTTTTTTTGCCATGCTCCCATTTCCATCAACCAAACGGGCAATTTTTTTACCGTAGTTTCCCCCGATTTTCCATCTATCCCCGGCCATTTCCTACTTGAGATTTTAAACTGCGATTATTCAGAATTATCCTTATTTTTCGTTGAGAGAAACGTGTTTCCTACCGTGTATGTATTGTTGTTGCTCAACTCGACCGCCCCCACCCGATCGATTCAGCTCCTCCCTATTTCCTGGCCCGGTTCACCAAAATCCTTTTTTAGCGCTCGTGTTTTTTGCCAATTTTAATGTGAATAAATTTTTGACGCCTCCTACTCTACAAAATTTCGCATTTTCAGAAAAATAATTGAACGACCTTTTCCGTAGTTTGCAATCACCTTTCGGAACAAACTCCAGAGTTCCATCAGAATCTCTGCTGGCTTGCCCTGGGGACGCTGTATTTTGCGCATTAATAGACCGCAGAGGAAAGAAAGCTCTTTATTCCAATTTTTGTCTTGGCAAGGGAAAAACGAATAAATAGGGAAAACTAAAAGTGAAAAATGAAATAAACGCTATTTTGGGAAAACGGGGGTGAGCAAGTTTTGGGTCATCAAAATTCCTTGACAATGCTCATTTCCAAATCGTAGAAATCGTCATGGTTTTCAAAAATTAGCATTTTCTAGGTACAGTATAAAAATATATATATATATAATGTTTATCACATTTCAATGAGAAAGACAGGAAAGGGAAATATATGGGGGAAAATCGATAAATATCGCAAATTAAGTTGCAAATCTGCAAATTTAATTCGCAAAATCGTGGTAAATATTGTTATCAAATTAGACAACAACAAAAAATTCCAAAAACCGAAAACAATGAATTAATTTTCGAAAATGGTTTGAAAAATTTAGCCAAGGTGCGTACCGAAAAATTGGTATAACCGAGGCGAAAAAAATTCCAAATTTGAGTCGTGAATTTAATCCTTCAAACTTTTTAAATTCGGGGAGGTGAGCAACAATATCGGGAATCTGGTGAACTGGTGAAAAAGTGCAAAAAACACATTTTTTAGCTATCTTTTAAGAAGTGCCGAATTTCGGGGGAATTTGGTGAAAATGGCGGTGAAATTTGGTGTGTAGGGGAACCGTTAAAACGGCCCAAAAACGGATTAATTTCTAAAAGCAAGAGAAGGGTGGAGTCCTGGACTAACGCAGAACCATTTTCGCAAAAATTAGTTAGAGAACCACAAAAATCCGGCTTCTGGCCCAATTTAAAGGGATGGGGAAGTCAAAGGTGTGGGTTTTTCGTCTAAGCCTTGATCCCATTAATGCACGGATGAGGTGTAATCATTCACGTGCGGGTGGCTCGCTTTTTGTGGGGGCACACGGTGCGGTGGCAGTTGTTCCGGCACGCCTCCGTACAGCGTGGGTGGCGGACTGAAAATCGGGAAATTCCCAAATGATCTCTGCTAGCCTGCCCCTTCCATTCCCAAATCATCTCTGCTAGCCCGCCCCTTCCATTCCCAAATGATCTCTGCTAGCCTGCCCCTTCCATTCCCAAATGATCTCTGCTAGCCTGCCCCTTCCATTCCCAAATGATCTCTGCTAGCCTGCCCCTTCCATTCCCAAATTATCTCTGCTAGCCCTACCTGTTGCGCACTGCACATCGCAGGCGGATGAGCAGTAGGAGGCGCACGCTTCCGATGAGATTCCAGGAGAGGCCGTGACGAGCGAGATTCGCAACTGAAATGCGGGTAGGGGTGCATTTTGGGGTGGAAGGTGTACTCATTCGGAATTGCGGAATTTTGAGGTGCCGGGAGGTGTACTCCTTCGGAATAGGGGGCGATATTCACCCGGAATTCGATGCCGACAAGCCAATTGGAAAATTGTGAGGGGAAAATCGTGTCAGGGAGTGAGGTGTGGAGTAGTGCTTCGGAACGTAAAAAGGTGCCAAAAATCATCAAAAAGAAATCATAAAAACAATTTAAAAAAACTCATTTTGGTGCCGAATTCGGCACTGATTGAATACAAAGTTATGAAATCCAAAAGTAAGTTTAAAAAGCACATTAGGCCAGCTTAAGAATTCATGGTAATTCTAATGAATAAATTTAACTTGTCCTTTCTACCCAAAATACCGGTTAAACCTGAAGCCCCGCTGAACTGCTTGGAGAAGTGGGGTGGTGCGGTAAACGCGTGCCCTCGATTGGGGCACTAACGTGGGGTAGGGGAGATTCGGGCGGTGGTAGTCGACTACGGACTGCACCAATAGACGGTGGAACGTCTCGAGGACTGAGGGGGAATTGGAAGGGGGGATTGTCGAGGTTAAGGTATCGGAATCAGAATTTGTGGGCGGGGCCAGCGACAAATTTAAATTGAACGTCTCCATCGGCTCGGGGGTGGTCGACTGAAAGGAGGGAGAAGGAGAAGAAGGAGAAGAGTTGGAGGTGTACTGAAACGGAGGCTTAGGCTTTGGCTTAGGTTTGGGCCTGGCTTAAGCTTAGCATGGGCTTAGGCTGAGGCATTGGCTTAGCTTAGGCTAGGCTAGGATTAGGCTTAGGCTTAGGCTTAGCCTCAAGCTTAGGCTTATCGGCCAATTTTAGGCTTAGCTTAAACTGGGCTTAGGCTTAGGCTTACATCCGGCTTTTTTTGTTTTCTGCTTAAAATTTACTGTTTTTTTCTGGTGCCTTGAGCGCAAAGTGCCCAAATTATCGAAAACAAGTCAAAAACAAAATTAAAAGACGAAACTAAAATAGTGTAAAGAGTTGTTGTAGCATGCCAATCCCGAGACAAGGTTTCCGGTATTTGGCAGTTAGCCGAGAACCTTCTGGCTTACCTGTCCTGTGACAGCTGTCTGAAATGGATGCTGAATTTTGGGAACAGGGTTACAAGACTAAGAAGAAACCTTGAGGTCCCCGGTGGAAGCCGAAGGGTCGGCGGATTGGGTGGCGTAGGTGGTCGTGCAGGTTGGCAGGCAAGCTGGCATGCAGGCGCCGACACAGGAGGGTGTGCTGGAAAGTGGAAGCGTAAATCTGAGATATCTCTCTCTCTCCCTCCGTCTCTCTCTCTCTCTCTCTCTCTCTCTCTCTTTCTCTCTTTGTCTCTACTTCTCCCTGACTGTCCGTCTGTCTATCCTTGTCTCTCTCACTGGCTCCGTCACTCTCGATCTTCTGTTTCTCTCTCTCTCTCTCTCTCTCTCTCTCTCTCTCTCTCTCTTTATCTCTTTAGTGCTCGCGCACTCTCTAGCTCTCTCTCGCTCTCTCTCGCTCTCTCTCGCTCTCTCTCGCTCTCTCGTTCTCTCGCTCTCTCTCTCGATCTCTATCTCTCACACGCCCTTACCTGTAATCAAAAACACTTGGTGAAGGCGTCGTCGCCTGAGGAGCAGCTGTAGCTCCATTATAAGCCGGCTGCTAAAAATGAAGGACCCGGTAACCCAAAAAATCCTTGCAAGTCATACCAAACTCGGCGAAACAGCCGCAAAAAGTTGGGCCGAGCTCTGTTGGACCGTCGGGTTGGCACACGCCCGGTCACACTCCGGCTCACACTGGTTGACGCAGTTCGGGACGGCCGTGTTGCTGAATAGATGTCTTAAGGGGACCAGAAAGCGCCTGCATCGACTCTTTCCAGCGGCTAGGTCTGGACAGTTACGCAAAAAGTGAAAGTAAATGTCGATTTCGGGCGTGAAGTGGTGGTTTCGCGATCTGACTACGATTAGTATATATGATAGGAAAACTAGCCGAAAGGGTCCTTTTAATAAAACGCAGGACAGACAAAAATCAACTGCTGCTTTCCACTAGGTCTAGACAGCTACGCGAAACGGCAGAACCCTTGCAGTACCTATTATTAAAGCCCTTGAATTGCGAGTTTTGCCGTTTCGCGTAGCTGTCTAGGCCTAGTCGACCGACGGGGGTAGATTCAGGGGTTTCTAGTGCCTTTAAAATTGTGCTTACTGGGTCGTTTGACACGCCAAGCCACAGACATTCGTGCACTGGGATTTGCAGATGGTTCTTGGGTTCTGCATGGCGGCTGAGACCCCGCAAACCTGAAAAAGTTTGCTTCTCTCTCTATCGCTCTCTCTCTCTCTCTCTCTCTTTCTCGCATCAACTCACATCTTGACAAGTGTTATCACAGGTCTGCTGGCAGCCACCAGCCGGCTGTTGCTGCTGCTTTTGACACGAGTCGTTACAGCCCTAAAATCCTGCGTTGCTTCCATTCCCAAATGATCTCTACTAGCCTGCCCCTTCCATTCTCAAATGATCTCTGCTAGCCTGCCCCTTCCATTCTCAAATGATCTCTGCTAGCCTGCCCCTTCCATTCTCAAATGATCTCTGCTAGCCTGCCCCTTCCATTCTCAAATGATCTCTGCTAGCCTGCCCCTTCCATTGCCAAATGATCTCTGCTAGCCTGCCCCTTCCATTCTCAAATGATCTCTGCTAGCCTGCCCCTTCCATTGCCAAATGATCTCTGCTAGCCTGCCCCTTCCATTCTCAAATGATCTCTGCTAGCCTGCCCCTTCCATTCTCAAATGATCTCTGCTAGCCTGCCCCTTCCATTGCCAAATGATCTCTGCTAGCCTGCCCCTTCCATTCTCAAATGATCTCTGCTAGCCTGCCCCTTCCATTGCCAAATGATCTCTGCTAGCCTGCCCCTTCCATTCTCAAATGATCTCTGCTAGCCTGCCCCTTCCATTGCCAAATGATCTCTGCTAGCCTGCCCCTTCCATTCTCAAACCAGATGGTTCCAGTCGCTTCGCGACTGTAACCATCTGGCCTTCGGGCTACCCTTCATGCAATCCACTTAAAAAACTACTTCGATACCTCCCTGATGGCTTTAGATACCCCCCATGGCTGAAATCCCCTTCAAAAACTACTTCGATACCTTCCTGATGGCTTTAGATACCCCCATGGCTGAAATCCCCTTCAAAAACTACTTCGATACCTCCCTGATGGCTTTAGATACCC